CGAAAATTTTAGGGGTACGTCGAGATCCAGACATGCATGAACATTGATTTTTAATGTTTGGATTGCACGTGAGCTAGGAAAATTCTTATAAACTTCTAGCTTGCTAGCTTCTGCTGGGGAAAATGTAGCACGCGCTATCAACAGCTGTGAACTAAATGGGATTTTCAGAAAAAAGAATTCTCGAAGCAGATGTGATATCGCGAAAAAACCGCTAGTTCACGCAGTTATTGTGAAAGACTGTAATAAAGCAACCCTGTGCCCTTCATTCGCTTTCCAAATTTTTTTTTTTATCCCTCTAGCTCAGACTAGAACCGGATATAGGCAACGTCCAGGGCGACGGACGAAGTGAGCTGCACGACGAAAGCGGTTTGTGGTTAAAGGCGACAAACGGTTTTCTGGACCCATCTCATACTCCCCTCACTAATCGCCCTCTACCACTTTCAGTGGACTGCTGTGCAAGCTCAGTTTTGATTCACGAAGAAAATCTCTTCAAAGCACTCACATACACAAAACATAGAGAGAAGTTCGACGGTATGCGTGTTGCTTCGCTGCTGCAGCACAAAAATACAAAAAGACTCAGGCTGGAATGCGCCAACCTTGCCGGTGCGATCATTCGTTCTTGCACCAGATTTGAAGTGCTCAGGTCGTTAACTGCATGAATGGTTTATGTTTTACACCTACTTTTTGCACTTACTAGCGTAATTCATTGCTAATTCCGCATGAAAGAAATGAACAATTTCTGTTTAACAGCCGTTCTTTGGAAATGACCTAGCTGTTTAGTAATCAATTTTCCGCCAGAACTTTTAATTGATCTTACATGAGAACCAAGTGCATACCTGGGAGCTGAATTTGAAATCTTTAAATTGTAAGTGGGCGAGGAATATACATAAAAATTTCAGCTTCCTACTTTTCTGGTTGCCGAGTTAGCAATATTCCCGACAAAAATTTCATGTGTCCCTACATGAGAACCACGCACACCTAAGGGCTGAATTCGAAATCTCTGGCTCACACACGTACAGAAAATTTCTCTACAAAGTTTATGCTACCCATCCTTTCCGGTTCTCGCTATCGCTTTTATGCCAAAAAATTTGCATATTATTTTAAGTTGCGGACCCAGGCATAAGCGGGTGGTGATATTAAAACAAAAGGATCGCACATGGCCTAGGCACGAAATTCCAGCCTGCTAGCTTTTTCGGTTTTCGAAATGAAGGTGGGTTATAAAAAGTGCAAACACGCAGAAACACACTCACATAGGCAGTCGCTTGCATATGCGCTTTTGCATTTGCGCATATGCAGAACCACATATATAAAGTGGAAGGTCAAAAAGTGCACAGATAAGTAAACAACTGAAGGTGCATACCATTTTAG